TATTTCAATAATTATATATATGTTATGATGCAGGTAAGTATAGAATTTTATTTAATTTATTATATAATTTTTAGAATATTAGGATTTGGATTGTTAGTGATAGTTATTCGATTTAGAGGGAATGATTTATATTATATGTTTAATTTTAGAAAGTTTATAGTATTACGTTTTAAAATGTAGTTCAAAATGTACAATCGAGTTCTTGCTCTATTATCTTCGTCTACCTGATCAGTCTTATTTCGCAATTGATCTATGTGCATCTTTAATAGGCGGGATAGGACGTCCATCTTGCTCAATATCCTATCGGTGTCGTCCAGATGCTTTCGTTGATCCTCGTTCGTCTTTTGGTCGAAATTCAGAAAAGTCGACGAGACATTGTTATCGTTTGTACTGTTCTCCACGCTGTTGATCGAACCTCCATTGTCGTCGTCGACGCACTCGGCAAAATTCGAAAATAGAGAAAGCGCTCCGATTAGCAGCGGTAGAATTCTTGAAAATCCCATTGTTAAGCTTTACAAATCACCAATAATGTTAAATAATATCTCACATTTGAAGATGATCTTTTGTTTTATTATTACAATCTATTTATGGATCGTATTTAGAAACAAATAGATCACAAAAGAATGCATTTTCTTCTCGTTTCTTTCCTGCAGATACAAATTTTTCTCAGAATTCATTTTTATATAAATTTCAGATTTTTTCTGAATTAAAAAAAAATTTTAAGACTTTCTCGAAAATTTCTTAGACAAATTTCAATACAAATTGAAGCATTTTTCAAAATTGCCAAGAAAGTCTATATCTATCTCTTTTAGAATTCTCCATAAACGTAAATCTACTTTAAGTTCTGAAATATTTTCTCATTTTACATATAATTTTTGAAAAAATATTTTAAACTTTTGTAGATTTCATAAGATTCCAAAAATTATATAGAATGAGAACTCTAAGAATTCTTCTTTAGTTATAATATATCAAAAACTTTAAGAAAAGATGTAGACTTTCTCAATATTCTTGAAGAATGTTTCAACTCATATAAAAATTCCGCGAAAATTTTTCACCAGGATTAACTGAGCAAAGAGAAGAAAAGAAAGCACAAAAAATGAGAGATTCTATCGATCGCTTTGAGAATCGGACGTTGTTTTCGCGTTCATTGTAGCAGCCACGAAGGCAAGGATCGCGTCGCGGGGACCAGTCGGTTCTCTGGTGCATCCAAGATCTGCGAAAGCACGACGGATCGGATTCGCATGGAGACGAAGACGTAACTGAGAGCAATGGAATCACCGGCTATAAAAGAACATAACGCTCGATGTGAAGACAAGGGGACCTCTGTTCTGTCGAGTTCAGACGAGTTCCTTGACGCGCGCACGTGTCTGTGAGTGATCCACGCGGCTGCTCTCTCGGCCAGTCGAACACGATTCTATTGTATTCGCCGCCAGGCCGCGAATAGATCCAGACATCAATTTTTATTAACGTTAATTCATATTGACCATCAGACGACCGCGACGACTCCGAAATCCGCGTTTGCATTCTCCCTACATCTCGAGCGACGCATCGCGTTCTTTAGTTCTCTTTTTTTAGATTAGTGTAAAAAAATAATATAAGGATTTTTTTACCGCGTTTATTTTATGGGAAAAAAATGGATTGGATGATTCGGCAAAGCTATAGCTTAATTACTGAACGAGTTCAACATCTAAAACTAAGAAGATTTGATTCATCAAAGAAATTATATCTGTAAGCAATATTATTATGTTAATTCAGCTAATTATTTGCTATAAATGAAAATGGTTAATGTAACAAGTTTTTTCTCGCTGCAATAAACGTATACGCTATCTTAGCTAACATGTTTTTTTGTTACAAATTTTGATCTATACGTTGAATTGATTTTCATAAAAAGTTATCTTTGCTATATTAATAAATTTGCTGAACAACAAATATGATAACCTATAATCGCTAATTTTTTAGTTGCACAATTTTGCTACTTTTATATAGAAAATTGATTATCTGTATATTACGGTTGTAGATTTGCTAAATTAGTAAACTTTTTAATTATTTTAACAAGTCTTATTTTTTTCGTGCTTGTACTTTTTAAATATTTTGGAGTGAAATCTAAAGAATGAAAATTGAACTAATCTTTTAAAAAAGAGCTCGTATCAATTTCCAATCTTTAAAAGTAAGATTTCGCTCTTCAGAGTAAAGATTCACTTTAAAAGTTTTAGAGAGTATGGGAAAGGGATGTTTCACGATGGAGGATAAAAAAAAAACAATTTCCGCGTGACCAGTATAATTCATATCGCGTCGACGCAATTCCGGGTCAATTCCGGGTCAATCTCTCAGCTTGTCGCGCGCGCCGATATACCATACACACGCGATGCACACATTGCACGTGCGTGCGCGTTACATACGTAAATATACGTAATCTACGCGTCTTCCCGTCGAAACACGTATTATCGCGTTACTATCGCGTCCCGTTTGGAGACGCGATATGAAAGTATTTGAATATTTCTCCTTTATCGCGTACGGATGAATCACTTTCGGTTCGGTCGCGGTCCAACCGAATCCCGAATCACCGTGTTCCCGTCTCTCGGGATCTCCGTCTCGAGGAACCGTACGATGATACGTTAAAGTTGTCATCACATTATTGTGGTGTGCCATGTTAGCCGCGAAGGTCGTGTTCCCGGTGCTCTTCCTCGTGAGTCTCGTGTCGGAGGCGAGGTATCATTCCCGTCTCTCACGCGTATTCCGATCGAGCGCGTGGGACCGCCTCACAGAGGAACAGGATTGGTACTTCGAGCAATGTCGTTTCGTGAACGCGTGGAAGGAGCATCTTGGCCATGTAAGCGTGCTGGCCTTCCTGGACCCAGCCTGGCAGTATAGCTTCCGACAGGCGGTCATGTAAGTTGTAAGGATTGTGACTGCGCGCGAGGTGAACGCGCCCGTGACGAAGAAAAATCTCTCCTTTTATCCCTTTTTTCTCTTTTTATTGTTTTTTTTTTCTTTTTTTTTTTAATTAATCGAACCACAGGCTGGAGCTGCTAAGCTCGCGTTTGCGGAAGTCCGATTTCCCGGACATACAATTCTTCGTGATAAGCCCGTCCTCCGATTTAAAAGACGATAAGAGCGAGAACGATCTCGAGATCGAGGCATGGCGGGAGATTGGAGCAAAGTATGAAATGGAGAATTTTGTGAATAGTGATTTTCTCAAAAATAATGGAACGGAGATCATCTTTCTGCAGGACGATCCGCAATCTCGTATATGGGAGAGATTCCGAGCGTCAAGGGAACATGCGGTCATCATCGATCGGTGAGAGAAAAAGAGAGAAAGAGCGATTCAGAAGCTCACGATTTTATTAATATCATTATATTTATATTTTGTTTAACAGCAATTGATTGTTTCGTACGTTTTTTTTTTAAATTCATTTACGGAAAGAAATGAGTGCGAAATCTTATAAAAAAATTTAATAACATTCCTATAAGCACAAAATATTCGTAGAATGTTATATAAATATTATTTAAAAAATGAAATAAGTTATTATAATGTTTTGAGAATATCGTATACTTTTTAATGTTATAAGAGTATTCTATAGATATTATATATTCATTTGTATAAATATATTTCCTTGATATATTTTCTTTGACATTTTCTGAAATATTATTAAAATATTTATTAATATTAATTATTTTTAATATTAATTATTTTTACATTAATGTAGTTTTAATTCACAATCCAGTAACGAAAACATCTTATCAATCTATGCTGCGTCTTATGTTTAAATACATTTCGGTGTGATTTTACGTAGATACATATCCAGTTTACAACTGCACACCAAAATTATTTTCAATCTTTAAACATATATTTAAACTAAACCGATGTAACAGTTTTACAAATTAAAATAAACGTTGTTATAATACCCCAGTAAACGAGAATGGATTAAAATGAATTGAAATTTTTTTCAATCCAAATGCGTATTTTAAATAGCGAATACTTTTTTTTAATTGGATTTCATTGGATTCAATTAGATTCAATTGGCTGCAATTGGATTGAAAAAACTGCATTTTCTGTTCAATTCAAAATTTTGAATTGAACAGTATTCACAATGCACAGAAAAGCTAATATTATTTTTAGATTGAAAGGCATAGAGATATGCTCCATGCAATTCTTATAAAGGAATAAAAATTCATTCAGAATTGAAAAGCATTCATTTTAACATTCGTGAATCAATATTCAATTCTGAAAATCTGAATCCATTTCAATTCATTACAATCCATTCTCGTTTGTTGGGACTTTTTATGTTCATACAAATACTACAATGACATTAAATAATATTACTCTTAATAATCATGTAATATTATGAGGAGTGTGTAATAATCATCCATTAGGATATATAATTATCCATTAATATTTTAGGAATATTATTTAATATTATGTAATTTCAGTAAAATATTTTTCAAATGTTACGTTTAATATTCTGGTAATATGTCTAAAATATTATTTTATATTAAATAATATTAAATAATATTATGTATCTATATAAGGAGAGAATTTTTTTTAATTTATCCTGAAAATATGATAATGGAACGGCATTGTTTTCGAAGAATTTAATGTAAATTTCTCTCATTCATTAATAAAACTACAATAAAGTATGAAATAAGTTTGATTAATTTTACTGAAATGCATGGTAAAAATCTTTAAAATATTGTATTGTATCACAATCATATCACTATCATATTTCCAGGGTAAATTTTGAAAAAAAATTTTCTCCGTGTAAGGATATTGCAGTAATATTGTAAGAGCATGATATTTAATTATTTCATTAATAGAGTGTTGAATTAAAATTATTTTTATATATATTCAAAATAATATTGATTGGTTTTTTTATCAATGTAGATATAATTTAAATAGATGAATTTTCAACTGATTATTTTAGATAGAGTTAGTATTAATACGTCCATATTCACGCCGTGCTTAGCGCCGAGACACTACCAGTGTCTCCAGATTATCGCTAAAAACTATGATTTTAGATGCGGAAAGTTGACATATCACGTGATAGTGCCATGGAGTATTCTGTTCTTTCCTTACGTAAAAGCGGCTATATTATCCACATATATGGATGACCCATGCGGCGGATGTAATGTGAGTGCATTTCTTCTTTAAATACAACATGTTTATTTCTCACTCAGCAGTGATGATGAAATGTTGAGTACTTTCCATTTAATGATACAAGTCGATACAAATATGTTGATACAAATTATCTTTCTTGGCATTCCATGAGTAACAGAACAATATTTGTGTCACAAAATAGAAAACATTGACATTACTGTAATCTCTCGTAACATGATTACCTTGGAATAATTTCAGCCAGCCGTCTATCAAGCGTCAAATCACGAAAACCATGTCGTGGAATTAACAAAGAGCACCAAGAAAGACTTGAGCACCAAGAAAGACTCGTCGTATCGCGAGATCGACACTAAATTTGAAATAATTTGGACCACCGAAAGTCTTCCGGAAAATCTCACACATCTACATCACGAATCATCGTCAGAAGAGGAACGCGAGACGAGCACCGCATCTTCTATTCTCTTAGAGAATATCACAAATGATTTCGATCGTGCAAATTTTTCAATGAAATCCACAACTTATCAATATGATAGCGACGCAACCGAGTCCAGATTTGACGAGGATCATCTTAATGCGAAAATTATACCTGGTCAAGAAGATTCGACGAATTCAGGGAGCGACGCTACCGTCTCCACCGGAACTGTTGCGATCTTTGAACCGCAGTCGGATGTGCTTCCTCCGGAACAAAAGGAATCTCATCCAACGAATAATAATTCGCTCACCGCAAATCATGATGACACGACTGCAGATAGTACTTTATTGCTTGACGAACCGGCGACTGAAGTAACCGAAAGTGATTCAACTTTCGCAGACCAAGAAATGATGACATCAAATTTCGCGAACGAGATTCGAGGTAGTAATGGAAGCGCAAAACTGTTGGATTTGCGAGAAAAGAATTTCTGTTCAGTAGAATGATGATAGTTGCTTTCCATTTTCATACAAGTGATATAATACTAAAGTGAGTATAAAGTTATATGAGTATATTTATTATCCATATAGCATGAAATATTTCCAAAATATTTCATTGCAAGATTTCCGAAATTTTTTATGAAATATTTTTGAAATATATTCAGGAATACAGAAAGGTCCAATAAATTCTTATAGTTTATGTCCAGGAAATCAAAGTCTTACAAAGCTGTAGATTATAAGTATAAAGACTCAGTTGAATCTCACTTGTCAGAAAGAAAATAGGAATGTGCATTCAACTAAGTTATGACTTATGACATCATGAATGAGAATTATCTGAGTTTTAATATAAATGGAAAGCAACTAAATATCAACAATATTATGTTAATTATCTTAAAATTTCTGACAAAAATAAATTGGAGCGTAAAACGCGATTTGACATTTCACTGTTTCAATTTTCGCTTTTTTTTATAAATTTTGTTTATTTCTATTATTTTTAGCTTATATTTCATTTACGCTGATTTTTATTTTCATTAAGGATTATTCTAACGAATTATTATTTTGCAGATAACACGACACCAGACGCTGAGCATTTTGGGAAGGACGCGTTTTTACCGTTACGCATAATTATGTATGCACCGCATCTACATAAAAACGGCAAAAAGATGAAAAAGTACACGCATATGATTCTGAAGGTCGGCGATCCCGATTTTCATAAGCACCCCGATTCAGGAACTGACGTTGCATCACTACCGGTACGTGTAAAGTAAAACCTATAACGTTTCCGTTAAATTATAACGCTCTATCTTATGTATATTTTAATTAATTTCTCATATTTTATTTGAGATATTTCTCTATCGAGTTTATTATTTTTTACATAAAAATATTATTAGGTCTGTCTTGATCGAATATAACCCTCTTCACTCTGTATTTATTATTATTATTATTTTATTATTCTTTGATCCTTGATAGTTAAGATTAAAATTCGTGAATTTTAAGGATGTCAATGCTCACATAACAAGCTTCGAAGAATATGATTGGCAAACAACGGAAGCAGATGAAGAAAATATTAATCAGACGTATACATTCAATGAAAATGAAAGCCCGGGATTGTACGGCGAAGTAGCGGACTATTGGAAGAGTTATGAAGATAATGACATCGCTGACCAAAATGAAACGTTTAATGATACTTACAACTCTACGGTAATTACCAGCACGCATTGTGTACAGCATTCAGTATATAAAGTACATTTTAATAGTATAATTTAAATTTAATTAAACACTTAAATCGATATTTTGTATTTAACGTCGAAACAAATTTAATTTTTAGACTAATTACAATGAGGAACATCGTTCTGATGTCAACGATTACGCGACGAGTCTTTTGAAGTCGGAAGAGAGCTATTTAATTACAAATGTCACAGAAAATCCCAATGTTGAAAGTTCTATTGATCTACAAAATATCGACGATTCAAGCACGATTGAATCTTCCAGACCGATTAATGAGAACGAGCAGATCGATAAGAAAGAGGAGATACGATATAAATTAATTGAACATTACAATAAACTTTTATCTTGGATCGATTATAGATTAAATAAATAAACATGTTTTATATTATATATAATTTTTTATTCAAATATCATCAGATTCCGAAGTTATTTTTGTCCGATTATGAATTACAAGTATTTGGATATTAAATAAATGACACATTTTTATCGTTACAATATAGATTTGACTAAACTTTATTTAAAAGTAAATGTTTATAATTTATATAATATATGAAAAATAAATGTTTAACATTTAAAATTAATCATAGATTAAATAAATAAAAATCTCAAAATCTCTTAAAAAATATTTTACTAATTAAAACATATTCACATTACATTTATCACAGGTCATATAATATTGAGAGCTTAAGTTTTCAGATATATATGTTAAATATACATATACACATTTATTAATACTTTTGTTAGCATAGTATAGTATATATATATATTTGGAAGATTATTTTTAAACATCATAATGATTCTCTTGTACGTATACATCACAAAAATCACATAAAATAATGAATATATATACGAGTATAATATATGCACATATACAAAAATTCAATTAAT